CCACGTGGCCGGGGGAACAGACACCCTGGATCACCTGGCGGAGGCGCCCGGCCTCACCCACCAATCGGCGCCCGCGGCACCGCTCCGCTCGGCCGCGCCACCCAATCAACGGCCGCGAAAGGCTTTGGCCTCGCCCACACCGGCCCGCGCCCGGGCGCTCCGCCTTAAAGGGCCGAAGGGGCAGCCTGCGCCCGCCGGGGACGCCTCCTGCGCTGGGGACCACAGGTCTCAATTACGGGTCCCTCCTCCTGGAGATTCCTCGCCCCGTCGCCCCCTGGCCAGCTCCTCCTCGTCATCCAAGCGGGGGCTTCCGCAGCGCCTCCTCCGAGAAGCCTTCCCCGATCACTGGTCACCTCCCCACCCTCTGCAGAGACTTGTTACTCGACTGCAAGTGGCACCGGACAGGAGGGTTCCCATCCCCGGGGCGGGACAGAGCCCGGCTCGTAGGAGGCATTCAGTGATGGTCGTTTTGACTCGGCTTTTTAGGGAGCCGGGCCAGGCTCACGTTCCCTCCCGGAAGGCCGGGAACAGGGGTGTCGCGCATCCTCTTCGTCACTCTCTTCCCGCCGGGCTGTCCTCATAGAGGAACGAATGATTGAGCCTGCCGGCTCGGCCCGGCACCCACCGAGAAGTCTCGCAATGAACGTGGATCCCTGCACCCGAGCCGTGACCCTGCCCTTCGGGTTACACGGAAAGCCACTTAGACTGGGGACACGGGGTAGCAAAGCTATCCAGAGTGTCAGCCACAGCGCCCAGCTGGAGAGCCCTGTTCTCATCAGGCCAGGCGCCCTGTAGGTGCCCAAAAATAAGTAGCATATCCGAGGGGGCCAAGCCTCTGGTGTGTGTTAAATCTGAAGCCTGCAGAGAGAAAACACCAGAAACTGTCCACGCACCACACTACAGAAAAGCCAGGACACAGGGACTCAGGTCCAGTGGGGAGGAAAAGCTGCGCCCAGGAGGTGAGCACCTAGGGCCTCGGGGGAGTTCCTGAGCTGGCACGTTTGAGCCACTCAGGCCATTCCCTCTGTCTCCTCAGAGCATCTGAAGACCCTTCCAGAGGCAGCAGTGAGCTGTCATGGCCAGAGGCACAGTCCCACATCTGAGCGCTTCGTTTTACTAGACGTGGGATCTTGGGCAAATACCTTAACCAGCAACGCTCGAGTGCCCCATGTGTAAAGGAGTGTTACTGTCGCCTGACTCAGCCTTGTGAGGATTTAAACGGGTTAAGGTGGACCAGGTGGTCGGCTCAGTTCCTGACCCGTAGTAAGTGCAGCGCTCGAGAAATATTAGCTGATATTAGACTTGATTTTATTCTTGAATTTCTTTTGGATGTGATCGGACGGTACGTGTTTACTGAGTTCCATGTGTCAAGTGCTCTGGGAAACCGTTTCACCACAATCATCTGAAGGCATTGAGTCCAGAGACGGTTTACATGTTGGTCCTGCTCTCCGCGAATCCAATTTGTGAAACTCAGGGGACCCAAAGCATAAAGAGTTAATTCCTAGCTTTCCATTACACACACACACACACACACACACACACACACACACACACACACGCACACACGCACACAGAGGACTCACTACTAAATTCAGTCTCCATTTCGAGAATATTTCTGGTGCATAAAGTTCATTCTGATACATAGAATTTAACTTTTTTGTTTTTGTTTTTGTGGCTAGCCAGTACAGGAATAGCACCCTGGACCTTGGTGTCTGATACATGCAATTTAAAAAACAGTGACAGGAATTTGTTTCAGGTCAAAATGACAGAAGACCAAGGAATGAAATTCTGGTGATGAAATTGTTAAAACCAGAGGGAGATTTTTTTTTTTTTTTGGTGGCTGGCTGGTATGGGGATCCAAACCCTTGCTTGGTGTTACAAACACCATGCTCTAACCAACTGAGCTTACCCACCAGCCCTAGAGGGAGAATTCTGCTTTCTAAATCTTTCTCAGGGGCCGGCCCGTGGCTCACTCGGTAGAGTGCGGTGCTGATAACACCAAGGCCACGGGTTCGGATCCTATATAGGGATGGCCGGTTTGCTCACTGGCTGAGCGTGGTGCTGACAACACCAAGCCAAGGGTTGAGATCCCCTTACCGGTCATCCTTATAAAAAAAAAAAAAAAAAAAATCTTTCTCAAGAGGAAACAGGGGGTCACGATTTGAGTGGCAGAGGGGCCGGCCCGCAGCTCACTTGGGAGAGTGCGCTGCTGATAGCACCAAGGCCACAGGTTCGGATCCTATATAGGGATGGCCGGTTAGCTCACTTGGAAAAGCGTGGTGCTGACAACACCAAGTCAAGGGTTAAGATCCACTTACCAGTTGTCTTTAAAAAAAAAAAAAAAAAAAAAAAAAGATTTGAGTGGCAGGCACTGTGCTCGGTCCTGGGGATGTAGAGGTTTACAACGAAACACACAAAATACCACATAAACCACATCTGGAAAGATATATGTGATCATAGTGAGTGACATTAGCTCATGAGTTTACTGCCGACAAGGATTCCATTTTTATTGGTCTTTGCCCCTATTCAGGAATAGTGTTTCAAAATCAAATGCATTTGTGATATTATGTATATATTTTCGTTTTCATCCATGTCCGTGATTCTTTCGTCCATGATTGTTGGTTCTCAGCTCCTGTAAGCCTTATTATTTCTTAGTGACTACAGCAATAGTATCTTTGTTAATTTGGCCTTCTGTCCTTGGTTCCTGAAGTAGCTCCTGGGTGATGGAGGTGAAAGACAGTCTCTTGTTATTTATAACAAGCCCTTTCAAACACACCTGAACTTATATTAATGAGGTGACTTATGGAAAACCCCTGGATACCACAGGATGGGAGGGGGCTGATTGTCCTGAGAATCAGCCATGTGCTCAGAGGTTTGGAACTTTAACTGCCTAATCTCAAGGGAGGGAGTGGTGGGGGAGAGGGTCTGAAGGTTGAGTTGGTCACCATTGGTCAATGATTTAATCAATCTTACCTATGTAATGAAGCTTCCATAAAAATCCAAAGGACTGGGTTTGTGGGGGCTTGCGGATAGCAAACACGTAGGGGGTTTATACATCCATGTGCCTAGAGCGTGGTGCACCCCAGCTCCTTGGGTATGGAAGTTCTGCACCCCTTCCATCATATCTCGTCCTTCATCTGTGTTTTTCGGATGTGCTTTATAATAAGCTGGAAAACATGTTTCCCTGAGTTCTGTCCATGAGTCCCCTGAGGCCTGGACTGTGACTAGTGTCTGAAGTGGGGACAGTCTTGTGGGGCTGAGCACTCAACCTGTGTGATCTGATGCTATCTCCAGATAGACAGTGTCAGAACTGAACTGAATTCCTCTAATTCAGGTAGTGTGTGCTACAGAATTGATTGCTTAATGGTGGGGAAAACCCCACACATTTGATCACAGAAGTCTTCTGTGTTGATTGTTGAATGAGTGAAAAAGGTTTTTTTGGTTTTTTTTTTCCCACTCATCATTTACACATTTGAAGTTCATTCCTTTCTTTTTATGTATGAATCAATGTAACTGTTCATCTGAGCTATTCCCCCAGGTTACTGAAGTCTATTGATCTAATTCCACTAAGAGCACAGTAACTCCAAGCTTTTCAAGATTTTCAGGCTTACTAAAAGAACGTTATGGGCTGGCCAGTTAGCTCAATCGGTTAGAGCATGGTGCTAATAACACCAAGGTCCAGGGTTCAATCCCTGTAACGGCCAGCAAAGAAATACAAAATAAGGGTATGTTAGATGCACAAGCTCAAAGGTTTACATCAAAGGTAACAAACTTCAGTGGGTGTCAGCCATCCACCAGGCAAGTCAACCTAGTTCCACTCAGGACTGCAGCATCACCGCATCACCTGCCACATGAATCTAATTTTACATTCATGACAATACAGCTCTCAGGAGCCACCAGGTGTAGAACTTCAACCATGGAATTAATGACTCAGTTGTACAGGAAGCCCAAAAGAGTTACCCATATTAAACAGGGGAAGGGGCGACAAAAAAGGCAAGCTGGGGCTGGGGTGGGGTGGGAGTCATGATTGCTGAACATGTTAGCACACATGCCATGCCATGGTATTTCCTGATGAGTCAACGACAATTACTAAACCTCACAGGTGTGAGCTTGCAATCACAATCTTCCCTTCTCTCTAAAATCCCAGAATCTGGTACTGGAGTTGCCAGCTGATGAATGTGAGTGGGAAGTACCACCACATCAGGGAGAAGCTGATCTCCAACAATAGAACTGAAAACTGCAGCCAAGATGGTGAGCTTGCAACAGGCCTCAGCACAGCAACATCTCATCCACACTGGCTTTTTCCAGCACATGCTTCCATCTGTTTCCTTGGTAACATTTTCCCATGTTGATAGGTCCTTTCACCCTTGAACACCATCATTCTGTTTTCTCAGGTGTGTCCTGATGGCTGTCCCTGCCACTCACCCTCAATATTGTCCCCCAAAATAAGTGACCTACAATAAATAGTCTTATGGGCTGAATTGTGTCCCCCCCCCACCAGCCCCCAAATTTATATGTTGAAGTCCTAACCTCCAGTACTACAAAATGTAACCATACTCGGAGATGGGGTCTTTTAAGAGGTAATTAAATTAAAATAACATCATTACTGTGGGTCCTTATGTGATACTACTAGTGTCTTCATAAGAAGAGGAAATTTGGACACAGATACAGAGGAAGGCGAAGTGATGACACCATGAGAAGACAGCCACTGAAAAGCCAAGGAGAAAGGCCTGGAACAGATCCCTCATGGTCCTCAGAATAAACCAACCCTGCAAACCCCTTGGGCTCAGACTTCCGACCTCCAGAACTGTAAGACACTAAATTTCTGTTGTTTAAACCCCCAGTGTGTGGTACTTTGTTACAGCAGCCCTAGCAAACTTTTACAGACAGTGATTAAAATAAGATTTGTTTTAATCCATTCAGAAAACAGGCCACAACACTGCTGCCTGATTCCTCTTCCTTGTATATTCTGGTTGATGGAAAGTGTGGAGTTTACTCTATCAACGAAATGTCAGAGCTGGAGGAGCTGCGACGGATGATGTACTCTAGTCCAACTCTCTCTCTCTTTTCCAGTGGAGAACCAG